ATCTTTGTGTCTGGTGTAAGAAAGTGGTCCAGTTTCCTTCTTCTGCATGTGGCTTTCCAATTTTCCCAACAGCATTTGTTGAAGAGACTGTCCTTTTTCCATTGGATATTCTTTACTGCTTTGTTGAATATTAATTGACCATATAGTTGAGGGTCCACTTCTGGGCTCTCTATTCTGTTCCATTGATCTATGTGTCTGTTTTTGTGCCAGTACCATACTGTCTTGATGATTACAGCTTTGTCATAGAGCTGGAAGTCCAGGATTGTGGTGTCCCCAACTTTGGTTTTCTTTTTCAACATTACTTCAGCTATTTGGGGTCTCTTCCGGTTCCATACAAATTTTAAAATAGTTTGTTCCAGCTCTATGAAAAATGCTGATGGCATTTTGATAGGGATTGCATTGAATGTGTAGATTGCTTAGGGTAGCATAAACATTTTTTTTTTCTGTTTCTGAGTATTTATTTATTTATTTATTTATTTATTCTTATGTTAATCCCCATACATTACATCATTAGTTTTAGATGAAGTGTTCCATGATTCATTGTTTGTGCATAACACCCAGTGCTCCATGCAGAATGTGCCCTCCTCAATACCCACCACCAGGTTAACCCATCCTCCTACCCCCCTCCCCTCTAGAACCCTGTTTGTTTTTCAGAGTCCATCATCTCTCATGGTTCGTCTACCCCTCTGATTTCCCCCACTTCATTCTTCCTCTCCCGCTACCTTCTTCTTCTTTTTTTTTCTTAACATATATTGCATTATTTGTTTCAGAGGTACAGATCTGAGATTCAACAGTCTTGCACAATTCACAGCGCTTACCAGAGCACATACCCTCCCCAGTGTCTATCACCCAGTCACCCCATCCCTCCCACCCCACCCCCCACTCCAGCAACCCTCAGTTTGTTTCTTGCAATTAAGAATTCCTCATATCAGTGAGATCATATGATACATGTCTTTCTCTGTTTGACTTATTTCACTCAACATAATACCCTCCAGTTCCATCCGCGTCGTTGCAAATGGCAAGATCTCATTCCTTTTGATGGCTGCATAATATTCCATTGTATATATATACCACATCTTCTTTATCCATTCATCTGTCAATGGACATCTTGGCTCTTTCCACAGTTTGGCTATTGTGGACATTGCTAGCATAAACATTTTAACAATATTTGTTCTTCCAATCCATGAGCATGGATTGCCTTTCCATTTCTTTGTGTCTTCCTCAATTACTTTCATAAGTGTTCTATACTTTTCAGAGTACAGATCCTTTGCCTCTTTGGTTAGGTTTATTCCTAGTTATCATTTAGTTTTTGGTGCAATTGTAAATGGGATCGATTCTTTCATTTCTCTTTCTTCTGCCTCTTTGTTAGTGTATAGAAATGCAATGGACTTCTGTGCATTGATTCTATATCCTGCAACTTTGCTGAATTCCTGAACAGTCTAACCATTTTTGGGTGGAGTCTTTTAGGTTTTCTACATAAAGTAGTGTGTCATCTGTGAAGACTGAGAATTTGACTTCTTCTTTGCTGATTTGGATGTATTTTATTTCTTTTTGAGGTCTGATGGCTGAGGTTAGGACTTCCAGTAGTATGTTGAGTAACAGTGGTGAGAATGGATGTCCGTGTTGTGTTCCTAACCTTCGGGGAAAAGCTGTCAGTTTTCTGCATTGAGGATGATATTTGCTGTGGATTTTTTTATATGGCTTTTATGATATTGAGGTATGTTCTTTCTATCCTTACCCTGCAGAGAGTTTTTATCAAGAAAGGATGCTGTATTTTGTCAAATGTTTTTTCTACATCTATTGAGAGATTATATAGTTCTTGTCCTTTCTTTTATTAATGTGGTGTATCACATTGATTGATTTGTGGATATTGAGCCCCCCTTGCAGCCCAGGAATAAATCCCAGGAATAATCCTTTTTTAATTTTTATTTATTTTTAATTTTTAAAAAAGATTTTATTTATTTATTTGACAGAGAGAGACATAGCGAGAGAGGGAACACAAGCAGGGGGAGTAGGAGAGGGAGAAGCAGGCTTCCCGAGGAGCAGGGAGCCCGATGTGGGGCTCTATCCCAGGACCCTGGGATCACGACCTGAGCCGAAGGTAGACGCTTAATGACTGAGCCACCCAGGCACCCCTATAATCCTTTTTTTAAAAAGATTTTATTGATTTATTTGAGGGAGAGCGTGCACAGAGGTAGAGGGAGGGGTGAAGCAGACTCCCCGCTGAGCAGAGACGCCGATGTGGGGCTTGATCCCAGGACTCTGAGATCATGACTTGAGCTGAAGGCAGATGCTTAACCAAGCGAGCCATCCAGGAGCCCGTGGTGAATAATCGTTTTGATGTACTGTTGGATCCTATTAACTAGTATCTTGTTGAGAATTTTTGCATCCATGTTCCTTACAGATCTTGGTCTGTAATTCTCCTTTTTGGTGGTGTCTTTAGCTCATTTTGGGATCAGGATAATGGTGGCTTCATAGAATGGGTTTGGAAGTTTTCCCTCCAGTTCTATTTTTTCAAATATTTTTAAAAGGATTTTATTAATTTATTGAAAAGAGAGAGCGGGAGAGAGAGGGGGAACACAGAGGTAGAGTGAGAGAGAAACAGACTCCCCGCTGAGCAGAGAGCCCAATGTGGAACTCGATCCCAGGACCCTGAGATCATGACCTGAGCTGAAGGCAGATGCTTAACCAATTGAGCTATCCAGGTGTCCCTCCACTTCTATTTTTTGCAATAGTTTCAGAAAAATAGGTATTAATTTTTCTTTTAATGTTTGGTAGAATCCACTGGGAAGCCATCTGGTCCTGGACTCTTGTTTGTTGGGAGATTTTAAATTATTGATTCAATTGCTTTGCTGGTTATAGGTCTGTTCAGGTTTTCTCTTTCTTTCTATTTCAGTTTTGGTAGTTTACATGTTTTTAGGAATGCATCCATTTCTCCCAGATTGCCTAATTTGTTTGCATATAGTTGCTCATAATATGTTCTTAAAATTGTTTGTATTTCCTTGGTGTTGGTTGTGATCTCTCTCATTTATGATTTTATTTATTTGGGTCCTTTCTCTTTTCTTTTTGAGAAGTCTGGCTAGGGGTTTATCAATCTTTTTAATTTATTCAGAGAACCAGCTCCTAGTTTCATTGATCTGTTCTACTGTTCTTTTGGTGTCTATTTCATTGATTTCTGCTCTAATCTTTATTAATTCTCTTTTCCTATGGGGTTTAGGCTTTATTTGCTGCTCTTTTTCCAGCTCCTTTAGGTGTAAGGTTAGGTTGTGTATTTGGGACTCTACTGGTTTCTTGAGAAAGGCTTGTATTGCTATATTTTTCCCTCTTAGGACTGCCTTTGCTGCATCCCAAAGGTTCTGAACTGTAGTGTTTTCATTTTCATTTACTTTCATGTACTTCTTAAATTCTTCTTTAGTTTCCTGGTTGACCCATTCATCCTATAGTTGCATACTCTTTAACCTCCATGTATTTGTATTCCTTCTAAATTTTTTCTTGTGATTGAGTTCAAGTTTTAAAGCATTGTGGTCTGAAAATATGCAGGGAATGATCCCAATCTTTTGGTACCACTTGAGACCTGATTTGTGACCCAGTCTATTCTGGAGAATGTTACATGCGCACTCAAGAAAAATGCGTATTCTGTTGTTTTATGATGAAATGCTCTGAATATATCTGTGAAGTCCCTCAGGTCCAGGGTGTCATTCAAAGCCCTTGTTTCTTTGTTGATCTTCTGTTTAGATGATCAGGCCACTGCTGTGAGTGGGGTGTTGAAGTCCCCTACTGTTATTGTATTATTATCAATGTGTTTCTTTAGTTTTGTTATTAAATGGTTTATATATTTGTTGCTCCCATGTTAGGGGCATAAATATTTATAATTGTTAGATCTTTTGTTGGATAGACCCTCGTATTATATGATACAGTGTCTTTCTTCATCTGTTACAGTCCTTGGTTTAAAATCTAGTTTGTCTGATGTAAGGACTGCTATTCCAGCTTTCTTTTGATGTCCATTAGCAAGATAAATGGTGCTCCACCCTGTCCCTTTCAATCTGGAGGTGTCTTTGGGTCTAAAATGAGTCTCTTGTAGACAGCACATCAATGGTTCTTGTTTTGTTATCCAATCTGATACTCTATGTCTTTTGATGGAGGATTTAGTCCATTTACTTTCAGAGTAATTAGTGAAAGATATGAATTTAGTGCCACTGTATTACCTGTAAAGTTGCTGTTTATCTGTAGATTATTTCCATTCATTTCTGGTCTTTGTTAGTTTTGGGCTCTCTCTGTGCTCAAAGGATCCCCTTTAGTATCTCTTGTGGTGGCGGGTTTAGTGTTCACAAATTCCTTTAGTTTTTGTTTGTCCTGTAAAATCTTTATCTCTCCTTCTATTCTGAGTGACAGCCTTGCTGGATAAAGTATTCTTGGCTGCCTATTTTTCCCATTTAACACCTTGAAGATATCATGCCAGTCCTTTCTGGCCTCCAGGTCTCTGTAGACAGGTCTGCTGCCAACCTTATGTGTCTATCCTTATAGGTTAAGGACGTCTTGTCCTGAAATGCTTTCAGGATTTTCCCTTTACCGCTGAAATTTGTGAGCTTCACTATTAAATGTGTTGACCTATTTTTATTGATTTTGAGGGGCCGTTCTCTGTGCCTCCTGGACTTGAATGCCCTTTTCCTTCCCCAGATTAGGGAAGTTCTCAGCTGTAATTTGTTCAAATAAACCTTCTGCCCCTCTCTTTTGCTCATCATTTTCTGGGACCCCATTTATCCAGATATTATTTTGCTTTATGGAATCACTGAGACCTGCAAGTCTCACTTCGTGAATTAGTAGTTGTCTTTCTCTTTTCTTCTCATCTTCCTTATTTTCTATCATTTTGTCTTCTATATCACTCTCTTCTGCCTTGTTTATCCTCACTGTTAGCGGCTCCATTTGTACTGCATCTCAGCAATAGCATTTTTAATTTCAGCCTGATTAGATTTTAGATCTTTTATTTCTGAAGCAACGTATTGTCTAGTGCCTCCTATGCTTTTTTCAAGCCCAGCTAGTATCTTTATAATCACTGTTTTAAATTCTAGTTCAGACGTCTTACTTATATCCATATTGATCAAATCCCTGACAGTGATATTACCTCCTCTTCTGTCTTTTGAAGTGAGTTTCTCCGTCTAGTCATTTTGTCCATAAAAATAAAGGAGGAAAGAAAGGGTGAAAAAACAAAACCCAGCAAAAATCAGCAATAACAGCAACAACAACTCGGGAAGTAATTCTGGTATATGCTGTGTAGACTCTACTGTTGTGTTTTGGCTGCTCTTTTCCATTGGTCCTCCCTCTACAGAGTTCCTCTGTGCTTGTAGTGGGGAGTGTTTGCACCATTAAGTTGGTTGCTTTGATTTGTTTGTCAAAATAAACCCGTAAAAGAAAAGAAGAAAAAGGAAAAAGAAAAAGAAAAAGAAAAGAAAAAAGAAAAAACAACAACAACAAAAGCCTGATCCAAGACAACAGGAAAAGGAATTAAAATGCAAATGAACAGACAAACAATAAGCTGTAAGTCTGATTCTAAAAAATAAAGAAAGAAGGAAAAACAGAGTAGGGAAAGAAGAAAAGAGGAAATAAAATAATAAGCCTGATCTGAAAAATATGAGAAGGAAACAAACAAACCAACAAATGAATAAAAAATGATAAGCCTGATACAAAAAATAAGATAAGGGGAAAATTAAAAAAAGAAAAAAATATATAAAATAAAGGATAAAGAATAAAAAAATAAGAAATTTCAAAACATTTTAAAAATTAAGAAGAGGGGAGGAAAGAAACAACAACAACAACAACAAGCCTGGTCGCATTTCCATCAGAAACTGATGTTTTGCAGCTTTCTTTAATCAGTAGACTTAGTAGGTGCGGGGCACTTGTGTTGCTTTTCTGAGGGAGAGACCTGCTGTGCGGGCTCACAGGCTCTCTTGCCCATGCAATAATGCCCCTGCCAGGTACAGGAGGGCGGGGTTTAGTGTGGGGGACTCCAGCCTCCACTAGAGGTGCTGTTTCACTCTGGAGTCTGACTGTGCTGGGGGGTGCGGGTGGTGTAGGGGCTAGAATGTGGCGTCTCCCACCCTCTTGTCCCTGGGGAGTGGAACCCTCTGCTACAGCTGTTCAGGAGGTCCTCTTAGAAAAGCGAACAATCTCCTGTGTCCTGGGCCCTCGTTGGTTCCCTGCCCTAACTTGTCTGTGCCTGGGTCTTGGGCATGCCCAGAGTCACAGATCTCTTGTATTTTCTCTCTGGTTGGTGACTGGGACTCAAAACTCCATGTTTTAAAGGGCCCACTCCCATCCGCCTGCAGAGAGGCTCAGGGCAGGCCCAGCACTGTTCTGTCCCCGAAAAGCCATCGCACGGTGCGCACACAGAGGCTAGAGCTTATCGTAACGCTCAGCCAGAAGCTGGGACCAGGTTATCAGCCCTGGGCATGGACGCAGTCCCCTACTCCCTTCTTTCCCAGAAAAGCAGTTGCAGAGGCTTGAATCTATTGGGGCCGACAGCGAGAAGTGTTGGCCAGGTTATCTGTGACCTGCTCCAGTCTCTGCGCTCTGCTCAGTTCAGCCCCAGAAAAGTGGCCCCTCAGCTCCCACACAGAGGTTTGAATCCATTGTAGCTCACAGCGAAAAGTGAAGAGGTTTTCTGCCCTCCCTGGGCACCTCTAACCCTGTTGCTGAGATCCCCACAATGGCCCCGGCTGGCCTTTTGTCCTTGGAGAGGCTAAATACTGTCTTGCAAATGCCCTCTGGGAAGGGGAGTAATGTCTCCCTGAGTGACCCAGGGGATCTCTTCACTGGTTACTGTGAGGTCCCTACCTGCTGGCCACTTTCTCCCTCTTCCTGACTTTGCTCTGCAAACTGGGTTCCCTCCCGTTCATGGCCACACCACTTGCCTCTCCCCCAGTGCAGAGCTCTGAACCTCGGATCTGCCAAATTCTTTCACCCCACCTGTGCAGATTGTTTCCTTAATCCTAGATCATCTTCCTCGTTGTTCAAAATAGTTGAATGTTGATCTAGCTGTATTCGAAGGACAAGTCAAGTTCAGGGTCTCTCTACTACTCCACCATTTTAACTCTGCCTACCCGATCCTGTCTATCTTCACTAGCATTTTTAAAGTCCGTTTTGGCTTAAGAGTGCGTCCCCTCCAGCTTTCTTATGATTGTTTCCCTGAGATGACTTTTCCCATCCCTTTGATTTTAATCTATTTGTAATTGAGTTTCAAGTGAGTCTACTGTAGACAGCATAATTGGATCTTGTTTTGTGTTCAGTCTAACAATTTGCACTTGGATGGACTTAATTAAGCCATTGACATTTAATGTTAATATTGACACTGTTGGATTTAGGATGCCATTTTACTTTCTGCTTTTTGTTTTTCATGCCTCCACTCATTCCTCTTTACTGATAACTTCTTATTCAGAGAATATAGTATTTTCATTATTTATTAATCACTATATTTTATAGTTATTTTTGAGAGGTGCTTTTTTCGCCATTTTACTACATTTTCAATATTGTGATTCTTTTCTTCATGTCATATCCATAATATATATTCAAATAACATATATTTATATATTTATATCATAGCCTAGTCATGTTATATCTTATGTCTTACGATTTCAATATTGAAGTTTCATGAGCATTTTACTACTGATTCTTTCTAAAGTTAGTCAATCAGTCTTTTTTCATTTGAAATTTACATTTCTTTCTACTAGTTGCTCTTTTTCTTTGTGCAATTATTTGTGTAAATTTTTTGACACGTAGGTTAAATAGAGATTTCCCTTGAGAAATTTGTTTCTTTCTTACAGTTGTTGGGTCCTCACCAATCCAGGACAATTATTAACTAAACTAATGACATGAAGTTAGTTTGATTCAATGGACAATGACAAAGCAAATTTGGACAAAAAAATCACAGACGGCTTAGTCTGTGATTGCAAATTTTTTGAAATAGTTGTTTGCTCACTTTTCCCGGCTCAAAGGCAAATTTGTACTTGAAATAGAACAAATTTGTACTTGAAAATAGAACAGATTTGCTTTGTGTCACCCTGTTCTGAGGATATGAGTCTTAAGTTCCAGATTTTCAGGGAGGGGATGTTTCTCCTGCTCCTCACATGAAGAAGCTCTGGGCATTATTTCCTCTCTATGAAGCTTATGAGCCTGAGAAGCCAGGCTAAGGTTTTCTAGATTTGAAAAATGCCCTAAGGATCAGAACAACTATTCTCTCTGGCTTACTGCCCATATTTAAATTTTGACTTAAATGATTACTCTCTTGATTGTTCTACTGCACTTTTGGATGATTTTATGGTTTTTTTCTAGCATTTTTAGTTGTTTTTAGGGAAGAGGCAGCCTTAAACCCTAGTCTACTATGTTACTGGAAATGGAGACCCCATTAACTGTTTTTCATTTCTGCTATTTATTAGGCACCAGAGTAGGTGCTGGAGTATAAGTCACCTAAACCAATGATGATTGTGTCTTCTGTGAGCCAGCACTGGTCTGTGAACTGTTAATCAGCCCTTAAAAAGATACATAAAGAAATTGAAAGTGAGTATAAGCAAGAAAGCTCTACCTTCTGTCTGAGACTGGTCATTGCCCAGACAAAGTTGAGCATGTCTATCATGTCATTGGATCTGCTAAAACACTGTGATAATTAGCTGTTTGTGGACCAGAGATGAAGTAGAATAGTGTCTACACTGGAACAGGTTTTCATACTTTTGTGGAGGCCACATAAAACCAAATAAAATTACACACACTCTCCCTAGAAATATGTGCATGTAAGAAGAAACATAAAATGTCAGTGTATATGTGCAGATCATCTGAAGTGATACAGATCTGGGTTTTTAATCCCAGGAAGAGACCAAGGCCGGGAGAAGACATGTTGAGCAATCACTTCATCACCCAACAATGCTAGTCCACTTACGTGTGAGTAGGAACTGGAGTAGATAAACGCTGGGTCCCCAACAACCATCAGGGGAATAAGTTGAAAGAGGCCATTTATGAGTCACTCCATCCAAGCAGACTTGAGAGCCTACAGCGTCCAGATCAAGTTCTAGTCTCAGATCACGACTCCAAATGGCGAAATTTGTCGTTCTTTTCCATTCCTGGTCCCCAACGTCCGTTCCCAGAACTCGTACCTCTCTTCCCACATGAAGGAATTCCACACTTAAAGAATCTTGTTGGGGACAGAGACCACCTCCATCCATAGAGAGGAGAACCCACTTTGCCAGTCTTGCAGTTGGATGTGACATGAAGCGTCAACAGTCACGTGACCCCCTGCCAGACTCTGACTCAGGACACGTGACAGACACACTGGGACAGCGTCCATGCATTGGGCGCAGGGGGTCCGAGCAGTGTCACAGCGGGGTCATGCAGCGGTCAGGGCAGCAGCGATAGCAGTCCCAGCCTCAGGGCCCAGTGTCCTCCCTCAGGGGAGTCAGTGGTGTGGACAGGGGCATCGATACCCAGTAGCAGGGTGCTGGCTGTAGGTGGGCCTCCATCGAGGGTCCAGCGTGGATTCTGCTCCCGGCTGTGTAGCCTCAAGCCTGTTCAGTGGCTTTCTTTGAAATAAAACAAGGCCTCAGACACCCTCTCCGTCCCTAAGTCTCTCTGTAACTGTACATACGTATCCCAAAGAGTCAGTAACCCACGTAGGAGATTCCAAGAGCAAGATTTCAGACATTTTTACCAGCTTTATGGAGATATGATTGACATTCACCCTTGTGTGAGTTTAGGGGTACAACCTGATGATTGATACATTTCTGTACTGATAACGATTACAACCATAGCATGGTTAACATGTGCATCATGTCACATGGTTACCATTTCCTTTTGTGTGGTGCAGACATTTAAGATCTACACTCTCAGTAATGCAGAGATTTTATGTTGAGCTAAAAACTACTTACTCAATCTGCCACCTGGCTGTGCCCCACAAGAGAGAAAACATGTTTCTCACAGCATGTCTTACATTTTTCTTCCTACAAAAAAAAAATTTAAAGATTGTATTTATTTATTTATTTATTTGAGAGAGAGAGAAAGAGTGTGTGTGCATGACAAAGAGGAGAGGGGTAGAGGGAGAGGGAGAACATTTCAAGAAGACTGTTCACTGGGTGCAGAGCCTGACGTGGGCTAGTTCTCATGACCTGAACCGAAACCAAGTGTCAGATGTCACTCAGGTGCCCCCCCCAAAACCATTTAAATGTGTCTGTAAGACCCTTTCCCATGATGAGGACTCTCATCAATGACTTCACTGCTTCCATATCTGGGGGAGCCCCAGGATTGCTGGTGGATTCATTACCAAATACTCAGGCCTCTTCCCAGACCCACCAGCTTAGAATGTTGGGCGTGGGCCCAGGAATCACTTACCTAATAAGCCCTACAGGAGAGGCTGATGCATGGCCATGTGGGGATCCTGCTTCATGTGCTTGCTACTCAGTGTGGGATCTGAAGACCAGCAGCATCAGCACCAACCTTGTTACCAACCCAGAATCTCATGCTCTACTCCAGACTGTCTAGATCTTCATAGTCCAGGCAATTCCTGTGCACACTGAAGGGTGGGCCTCCCTGGTCTATGTGCCTTCTAGACGCAGAACCAGACTGTGCAGTACACTCTGGGTGTGTGCTCTGACCAGCTTGCTTAGCCCTGAGGAGTGCAGGGTTTGGTCCTGTTCCTTTCTCTTCTATGGCCCTCACCTCCTTGGTGACCTCATCTCTGCTGAAGCTTCAAACATCATTTAATGACATCACTTCGCAAATCTATTTCTCCGACCTAGATATTTCTCCTACCCTGCACTCTGTATCCAACTGCCAACTTCACTTAGGTTTCTAATAGACATCCCAGATTCCACATTCTTACACTGGATGCCTGTGATGCTGCTTCCCCAAATGTCTTACTTCCAGAGTCTTCCCCGTTTCCAAGAAAGCACCCCACATTTCTACTTGCAGTCTGAAACACCGGATGCCCTCCTTGATTCCTCCTTCTCACCATACAGAATGAATCCATTAGGAAATGTTGCAAAGTCCATCTGTGAATATCTCCAGCTCCCAATCACTTCCTAGTAGCTTCCCTCCTCACATCCCAGACGTACATCCCACATCCCCCTCCTGGGACACGGCATGGGTTTCCTACAGGTTCCTTACTAGTCGCTCTCCCTGCACCTCCCGATTCTGCACAGAGGCGAACAGATGCTGCTCAAGAAAGTCAATCGCATCGATCTGTTCATTCCTGTAACTCCACGCCTCCCTCAGAGAAAACTCAGAACCCTTCTAATATCCTCAGGCCTCCGTGACGAGGCTGACATCCGACCTCACGTCACCGGCTCTCTGCTCCAGCCCCAGTGGCCTCCTCACCCTTCCGTGAACACAGGACATGCTCCTGTCCTAGTGCGTGTGCACTGGGGGTTCCCTGCCTGGAAAGAGCTCCCCGCCCAGACCTCCTCTGACACAATTCCTTCATGACCTTCAAACCTCTCAGAGGTCACCTTCTCAGTGAGGCTCCCTGATCCCTGGAGTAACGGAGCCATGGTCCCCGTCCCAGCACAGTGCTCTGGGTCACCTTCCTCAAAGCTCCTGCCAACTTCCATGTAAACACTTCCCTTATTACTGCGCTTACACAGTACACAGTTCACCTCTGCATGACACTGGTTTGCACGGGGCGTGTGCACCTGGATGCGGACTTTTCTACAGTAAGTACTGTCCACGCACTTTCTCTTCCTTATGATTTCTACTATTTTCTCTACCTTCATTCATTGTAAGAACACAGTATATAGTACATGTAACATGCAAATGTGTGAAGCGACAGTTCATGTTATCAGTAAGGCTTCCAGTCACCAGGAGGCTGTTAGTTCTTATGTTTTGAGGGAGTCAAAAGCTGTACTTGGATTTCTGACTGCACGCGGGGGTCACTGCCCCCATCCCCGCATTGCCCGAGGGTCAAGTGCAGGCTGCCCCTTACACTACAACTAATCTCCACAAGAGCCGCATGTTTTCCCTCTTCTTAGTCTCACTGAGCTGTCCCAGACGTAAACATAGCGTGTCCTGTATGTGGCACATGACAATTATCAGGTGAATGAATGAGCAGCTAGAGGACCTCCCTCTTCTAGATGCGCCTCAGACTCAGCTGATCCATGGCAGCTCCCCCCCCCCCCCCCCGTGCGCCCACTCGCCATCCGGGCTGCCTCTCTCTTCTCACAGGGCTGCCCTCCCCTCTCTTTCTCTGCTCAGCCCCCCCCTCCCCCACACCACGTCTCCTGCACACACAGCACACAGAGTTCTCTCTTCAGAAACACTGTACTGAGGCTTTTTGGGGCCTTTCTCCAAACACATAGAAATCTACGTTAGACTCTGCTTTATAAATCCAAGAACTTGGATCGGAGCCGGCACTAAGATCAATGAAGTAAGGGCGGGGAGAGAGGACAGAGCAGCAGGGAAGACAGAAACTAACTGAAGTTTAATAAGGGTGAGAAACTCTGATTCCTCCTCTCTCTACCTCCAGAATCTAAAGAATTATCTAGAAAACAGCTCTAGAGGGAGGGGAAGACATGGATGAACCTGAAAGTTCATCCCTCCATACCACAGAACTCGTGTGTGCAGGGGACAACCTAGGCCTGTGGGAACCATGGCCCAAAGGACACCCGCTGCTGTAACCGACGGGGTCACCCAGGGAGAATGGATAAGAACTCGTACACAAGAGCAAGAACAGGCCTGATGCTCTAGAGGAACACTGAAAAAGAACTACCCCAAAATGGAGGCTGTGACCTGATCCAGGCCTGAGCGTAGACTGACCCAGTCACAGTAAGCTCTTGCTGCACAAGGTCCTGGTGACAGGGGACGTTCAAGTCCCTGTGATCACAGGTCCTGGGGAGACGAGGTTCCACAGAAGGGGCAAGGACACGGAGCAGAGAGATGACCCAGCTGAGGGGTGAGCACGTCACACCCATGATGCACTGAGCACCACTGGGCACAGGCCCTGTCCCCACTCGGCTCCTCACAGCCTTCTCTGCCCCGACCTGCAAGACACTCAGCACAGTAAACACAGGGATTCTGGAAAGTTCTCAGGCTTCATTTATTTGCTGTCTCAACTTTACAGATCTCCTCTTTTATTACCTCATCAGCCCCACATGCCAAGAATTAGGAAACAAGACTTATATCTGGATTCTAATTTCCAATAGGGAAATAAGTCATTAGTATTCAACCCAACATGAAATAAAGACAGGGATGGAGATGGTCCAGGCCTGCCTCTGCTGGAACAGGAAAGCACATCAGAGAAGAGAAAGCAGATCAGCATAGGGAGGAGTCGTGGTGGGCAGGGTGGGCAAATCTCCTCATGTCCTCACATTGTACTCATAGGAACACAGACACATCTGGCACCTTTTGCAGAAAGAGAAGTCAGGGGTTGTTGATGTCACCAAGTGGGAGTGTGAACACATCTTGCATCACTCAGTCCTCACCAGGCAGCTGGTCTCACACTGTGAAAAAAAATCATGCACCAATTTAGGTCAGTCACATAAGGGCGGACACACTCTCCCTAGTGCCCTAACCCTTCCCCACTCGGGGTCTCTAGGGTCTCACCGTGAGGAGCCGTGAGAGACACATCAGAGCCCTGGGCGCTGTCATCGCCTAGGGGAGAACAAACAGGACGTGGTCAGAGCCCACAGGAGAGGAGACTAGAGGAGGAGCTATGCGGTGGGTGAGCTCCCCGTCGGGTTCTGTCTACACTATCTCAGGGTCTCAGGGATCACTCCCTCCAAACTTACGTGCAGCATGAGAGTAGCCTGGTCCTTTTCCTCCTGTGGGAAAAAAATATCATGTCAGAGGCCAGAACAGGGCTGGGCCATGAGATCCTAGGGGAAGCTCCCAGTCCTGGTCCTAAATGAAGTTTGCAGAGTTGTGACTGAAGACCCAGGACAGGATCAAGAAACATGAAGGACAAGGTGTGGGGTCACTGGACCACCTGACTTGCTGGAGGTCTGTCCTCAGCAGGGCCCTTTCTCTGTCCTGTGACTGCTGAGAATCAGGTCCCCATCACCAGAGTTACCAAGATGAAAATGTGTCCTTCATTTTCACAAGTCTTTGCTACACAGTGAACGTTAGTAATCAGCTCCAGAGTGGGCAAGTCCATGCATGAGGATGGTACTTCCCAGTAACAAGGCAGGACAGTCTCCTACCTAGGAAACCCCCCAAAGGGACAAGAAAACTGAGATCTCCCCACTCCATTCCCTACCTGAGCGTTTCTTTCTCCAGATCACAGCTCCAGTCATGGCCACAGTGACTGCAAGGAGAACCACACCAGCAATGATCCAGATGATGGGGATGGTGGGCTGAGGCGGCTCTGGAAAGGGGAGGGAGGGTGAGGGTCCCAGAGCTCTGGCAAGAGTCCTGACCCTGCTGAAATTCTCCAGAAGGCCTTCTGCTTTCCCTGAGTAGAGGCTCCACCCCAAACCCTCCTTACGCCATGTCAAGGTGAGGGGCTCCGGCAGCCCCTCATGCTGCACATGGCACGTGTATCTCTGCTCCTGTCCAGAAGGCACCACCACAGCCGCCCACTTCTGGAAGGTCCCATCCCCTGCAGGCCTGGTCTCCACAAGCTCTGTGTCCTGGGTCAGGTCCTCCCCATTGTGGTGCCAGGTCAGGGTGATCTCCGCAGGGTAGAAGTCCAGGGCCCAGCACCTCAGGGTGACCCTTTGGTCAGAGATGGAGTGGTGCGTCACGTGTGCGTTGGGGGGTTCTGAAGAAGAATCAGAAAATCCACACTTGGGACCTTTATGGGCCACTGAAACGGCATTCAATGTGAGCATCCTGAGGTGGACCCAGCCATTGGTTTGGATGGAAGAAGCACAAAGTCCAGTTACCAACCTAGCCTTTGGGATCTCCTGACCCTGGAAAGTTCTAGATTCAGGAAGACAGTCCAGGATAGGAGGCTGCAGATCTAAGTGAGAGAGCACACTAATGGTCCTGACTGTGGCGAGGGGTGAATGAGTCAGAAAACCCGGAGTCAGAACTCCAGCGATGTTGTCATTGGAGAACAAGGCCTTGGGAGGGAAAGTCATGGTTCCCAAGGTGGCTGCCAGGGTTAAAGGGAACCGCTGATGGCTTATTTCAGGGACGCTCTCCACCTGCCTCCCGGGAGAGACTGGGTTCCCCCACTGCCCCTTAGCGAGAAGCGGCCCTCTGGGTGAGGCCCTCTCTAGTAGGAACAGGAACACCCGGGCGATCTTCTTCTCCCCACCCGTGGGAGGGGCGGTATTCTGACACCGAGTCCATTTTCCCTTCCTGGTGGGAAGCCAGCCCCAGCGGAGGGGAGATCGGGGAGGCCCCGCGGCCCCTGGTACCTGCGCGCTGCAGCGTCTCCTTCCCGTTCTCCAGGTACCTGCGTAGGGACTCCACGCACGTGTCCTTCAGGTAGTTCCTGTCATGCTCCGCGTCACCGACCGCCTCCCACTTGCGCCGGGTGATCTGCGCCGCCGTGTCCGCCGCGGTCCAGGAGCGCAGGTCCTCGTTCAGGGCGATGTAATCCGCGCCGTCGTAGGCGAACTGCTCGTACCCGCGGAGGAGGTTCCCGTCGGACCCCACGTCACAGCCGTACATTTTCTGGATGGTGTGAGACCCTGGCCCCGCCCGACAGGCCGGGGATTAAGTCCAAACAGAAAGTAAAACCGCCTGAAACTTCCTTCGGGTTCGTCCGGGTCAGGGGTCGGGGCCGGGGGTTCCCTCAGACTCGGGGTGGCGCTCGGGCCCGGACACTCGGGGCGACCCCGGCCCGTCCGTGGGGATGGGGGTCGTGACCGGGACCCGGGCCCGCGTCGCTCACCGGCCTCGCTCTGGTTGTAGTAGCCCCGCAGGACGTTCAGGCTCCCTCGGAAACTCTGTGCGTTGTTCTTGGCGATCCGCGTCTCCAGGTCCCAGTACTCCGGCCCCTCCTGCTCCATCCACGGCGCCCGCGGCTCCATCCTCGGACTCGCCGCGTCGCTGTCGAACCGCACGAACTGCGTGTCGTCCACGTAGCCGACGATGACGAAGCGGGGCTCCCCGCGGCCGGGCCGGGACACGGAGGTGTAGAAATACCTCATGGAGTGGGAGCCTGCGGGCGCGGAGGGGCTGAGACCCCGCGCGACCCTCGTCCCGGCGCGGGGCCGGGGCCCAGGGGGAGGCGGCCGGGAGGGCAGGGGAGGGGCACCGAGGGCGGGAGAGCAGGGCGGAGGCGGGGAGGGGCGGGGGAGCACAGGCCGTGGCGGGGCCGGGGGCGGCTGGGGGGCTGGGGCGGGGGCGGCGGAGAGGCGCCCTCCCCGGGGGTCCCGCGTCCCCGCCCCGCGGTCCCCTCGCTCCCGCCCCGCAGAGGCCCTTTCCTCCCGCCGCCGCACTCACCCGCCCAGGTCTCGGTCACGGCCAGGGCCGCCGACAGCAGCAGGACGAGGGTTCGGGGCATCACGATCTGCATCTCCGGGGTCTGGGGAGACTGTCAGTGGTCGCGGGGCCCGCGGGCCGGTGCGGAGACTTTAGAACTAGGAAGAGCGGTGCCGCTGCTTGGCTTCTCCGGAAACGCGACACCCAATGGGAGTCCAAAATGGGCCCACGTCACGAGTATCCAGGCAGGAGGACCTGACACAGGTTGTGAGAGGGAGAAGTGAAACCGGGGAGATGGGGACTCCCCGGCCCTGGGCTTCCCCACCCCAGACACCGCCCTGGGGCCTGAGACCCTGAGAGGCAGGCGCAGGGACCTGGGACTTTGCCCCGACCCCTCACCTACTGCACGGCGCGCTCTCTGTCACACTGTCTCCCTGAGTCGTGGCCCAGGAGCTGTGTGAGTCAGTGATTCTCAAAACATCGTGTTTTCAGGATATCTATACAGTCTCACATCTATACTGAGGATACCAAGGATAATTTTGTATCTGTGGTTTATATCTATCGGTATTTACCATACTAGGAATAAAGCAAATTTAAAAATTCATTAATTCACTTAGAATCATATTAACCCACAGCGTGAAAACAGAAATGTTATTTTTATGTAAAATAACTATTTCCTCAAATAAACAGCTAAGTGAGAAGAGTGATGTTGTTGCATTTTACATTTTTGCAGGTCTCTTTCTTGTTTGTCTCCTTAGAAGACCCCTGGATGTTCAGAGTT